ACTGTCCTCCTCAGAGCCAGCTTCTGGTCATAAGACGGCTGCTCCAGCTCTACTTCCCACATGCATTCCAGACAGGCAGAAGAGCAAAAAGAACTGAGCAGAAGCACCTGTGTTAGGAAAGCGAAACTTTCCCAGAAATCCCCACAGCTACCTGCTGATGTCTCCTTGGCCAAGTCAGGTCACATGGCAAGTCTTAGCTCCAAGGGAGGCTGGGAAATGTAATTCTGAAAAATTGGAATTTGCCTGGGACTGCGAGATATGTGTAAAAGACCAAGGCGGAATTCTGATAAACACAGACTTGGAGAAGATCAGGAAGAGAAAGAGGACAGGGACCAAGGAGACTGAAAGAGCTGCCGGGGAGGTAGAGGCAGAGCCAGAAGCCAGAACCAGTCAAGGGCGACGGACGTTTCAGGAAGGAAGGAGTGATCCCCAGTTCCCAGTACTGTACTGTGGAGCTCTGACTGGACCTCACCCTGCTTACCTTTAGACTTCAACACCAAGCCCTGCTTCTGCTCAAGCTGCTTCCTCCCTCTTCCCCGCCTGCAGCTGGTCCACAGAGTTTCGGCATGGAGTCCAGGAAGAGCAAAGGCAGCCCTGGGACCAAAACCGGAACTCGACCAAGCCAGAGGGGTAAGGAGGACGTCAGGAGACAATTAAGACCAAGCTCTGCCACTTAACATTTTATTTACAGGTTCAGGAACAGGAGAAGAAACTCTCAGTGGCTTTTTCTTCCTTCCTGCGCTGGTTTTTGTTCCCACAATCCATATCTCAGGCTCGTAGTCTGCACTATATAATTCAGCTGTGTTCTTGGTAATTACGGTTCCAGGGGCTGGTCTGGAAACTAAGTCCCGGGTTATAATACAGCCAGCCCTTTTAGGAACTGGGGCTGTCGTTCTCTTGATTCTTTTTATTTTTTTACACCAGGAAAATAAAGTGGGCCTGCTCTGCTTTGAGTATCCTTGAGGCTCCAAAGCCACACAGATTGCTATAAAATGGGTCAGGTAAAGCCTGGTGGGTCTCTTATGGCAGCTGGGAATGGCATAAGTAACTGTCAGGTGAGGCCCGGTGGGGGCTGGAGGAGGCCATGGGGCCTCTGTGGGCATTTCCTTCACCCTCTTTTTTTTTTTTTTTTTTAAAGATTTTATTTATTTATTTGCTAGAGAGAGAGGGCACGCGTGAGAGAGTGAGCGAGAGCATAAGCAGGGGGAGCGGCAGGCAGAGGGAGAAGCAGGCTCCCTGCTGAGCAAGGAGCTTGATTCGGGACTCGATTCCAGGACCCCAGGATCATGACCCGAGCTAAAGGTAGCCCCTTAACCATCTGAGCCACCCAGGTGTCCCTTCTTCACCCTCTTCCTCTCCTGCTGCAGCGTGGCCAACTTGTCCACAAGGGGGCGGTCTCTCAGAGGCTGCTGAGGCTGGCAGGAGCTCCACGGCTAGTCCATGATGCATCATGGTGGCTTCACTCTCTCCTTCCTCCTGGCTCTAAGCTCAGGACCTCCTTCGCATCTAGAATTCAGCAGATATCATCAGGTGTGAATGACTGCCTTTCTAAGGCCGACTTCACTGGAAACATCTCTGCCTCCATACCCCACTCAATAACGGTGGAGGTGTTCCTCATCAGAGATGTCCTCTCCATTGCGGTCCATGCCCTTCTCCCTTTTTTCAGAGTCCTCACTCCTGCCTTCCATCCTGGATCATCCCTATCACTCCATAAACTTGCTCTAGTAATTTCCATATTTCAACAAACCCCTCAGGATTCTAACAAGAGTTAAAGCCAAATATGGCTACTGGCATCAGAAAACAGAGGATTAAACAAGACAGAAATTTCTTTCTTTGCTAGACAAAGTCAAGACGTAGGTATCCCAGAGCCAGTGTGGTGGCTCCCTGAACATTAGGAACCCAGATGTAGTCTCACTGGTGGCACTAACATCCTCAGCATACGCCGTCCACTTCGAGGTCTAATATGGTTCCTTGAGCTCAGGCCACATATTCATGCTCTCCAGTGAGCGGGGAAGAGCAACAGATGCGGAGAGAGCACCGAAGCCCTTTATAGCTAGTTCTCAGATGCTGTTCGTGGACGCCTCCCCTTACTGCGGGATGGCCGGAACTAAGTCATATGACCACACCCAGCCGCAAGGGAGTCTGACAACTTGCTTTTATTCTAGGGAGCCATGTAGCCAGGGGGAGAATGGCTATTAGGGTCATCTAGCGATCTCTGCCAAAGTCTCCTGTGAGTCCACATCCGTTTCGAGCCCCATCCCAGTTTTCTTGTTCCCTGTTAGACAAGCTGGCCAAACACGATAGTTCCACCATGGTCTGGCTCCCCGTCCCACTTCTCCTGGAACGCTATCCTTTTCACAGTCACCAATGTCCTTCATGTTGCCAGAGTCCACGGATCGCTCCCTGTCTTCATCTTGTCTGAGTTCTAAGTAGCATCTAACACAGCCGGCCACTGTTCTAGAAAGTCTTTCCTTTCTCTGTCTCTGGAATATAGCAGCCTCTGGTTCTCCTCTTGCCTCCTCAGCCTCTCTTGCTCTGTCTTCTTTCTTGCTCTGGCTCCTTTGGCTCCTCGGGATTCCTCTTGAACCCTCTCTTCTGCAATTATGGGCTCACCCAAGTAACTTCCTCAGCCTTCCACAGCCTTTATCATCTGTAAGATGATGCCTCCCAAAGCCCCACCCCCAGCCCAGGCCTCCCTTCTGAGCTCCTAGTCTCAACAATTGAACTGGGTCCCTGATGGGCATCTCAAAGTCAAGGCGGCTAAAGCAGAATTCTTGATGCTTCTCCCTGAGCTCTAGTCCCTTTCTTCTAGGTTACCTTATCCAATCAATGAGGCCCTGTCCACCAGCTTCCTCCAGCCATAAATTTGAAAGTTATCCCTTTCCTCCTGTGACATCCATTCTACCAATAATGTCCTGTTGAGTTCATGTCCAAAATAACTTCTCTCAACTACTCATCTTACTGTGGCCACAATTTGGTCCAAACCAACATTATCTTTGGCCTGGGCTGCCACAACAGTCTAATTGTCTTTTTGCTTTTCTTTCTGCCTGCCACCCACCCAGTGTATTTTTTTTTTTTTTTAAGATTTTGTTTATTTATTTGACAGAGATCACAAGTAGGCAGAGAGAGGCAGGTGGTGGTGGGGGGGAGCAGGCTCCCTGCTGAGCAGAGACCCCCCCCCACAATGTGGGGCTCGATCCCAGGACCCTGAGATCATGACCTGAGTCGAAAGCAGAGGCTTAGCCCAGTGAGTCCCCCAGGCGCCCCTGCCCAGTGTGTTCTTCACACAGCAGTCAACCAGAACATGTTAGTCTTCCGCATAAAACCCTTCAATGGTTTAATAAAAAGCCTCCATCCCCAAACAGTCTCGCATGCCCTGCCCACCTCCCCACTTCATCCTGATCCTCCTTCACAGGCTTGCTCTACAAGCTGCACTGTTTTCTGGCAGCTCCTTCTCACGCCCGAAGCTTACCTTTTTCAGGGCCTCAGCACATACTGCTCTCAACCTGGAAGGTGTCTGCCTGGCTTTCCCCCAGGCTGTCTCCTCATCCATTTGACTTCAGCGTCTCCTTCTCAAAAACACTCTCCCTGCCAGCTCCATGGAAAGTGGCTCCTATTCTCTATCCCAGCCCCTTGCTTTTGTTCCAGCATTTATCTCAACTTGTAATTGTCTTCCCTACTAAAAGTAAGCTTTATGGAACAAGAGGCTTCAGCAGTCTTGTTTACTGTTGTATCCTCAGCATCGTATAGGACCTGGCACAGATGAGGCACTCCATCGAGCACTCAGTTATCTGCTTAAGGGTGACTGAATGGACAAGTTCACCAGGAGGTCCCGGAGCTGCCTGGGATGTCACAGGCAAGCTGCCTTCCTCTTAAAAACAACGGGGAATGGACCAAACAGTCTGCATTGCAAGATCTCCTCCTTGAATACGACTCCACCTGTTGGTTGCTTGTACTAGAATGTGGCTACTTTCCTGTGGCCCACCCAGCTCTTTTCCCCCTGGAAGAGTTTTAGAGTCAGAGTGCGCCTGTGTCTCATTTCAGAGGCGGGAGGAGACCACTGAGGTCCGCCAGTACCTAGCCAGCTGCCTGACCACCCCTGTGCAAGCTAGTGATACTTGGAGTCTCCCATGTTCCTCAAGAGTGCTTTCAGCCATCTCCCCAGGACAGATCTTAGGAACAAATCTCAGCAGGCAGTCCAAAGAAAGGTTGTTATTTTTAGCACCAAGGCAAGAAGGAGCAGGTCTTTGCTGCCCAGTGTGCAAAGAAGTGCAAAATATTAACTTACCGCCCTTCTCTTGAAGCATCCCCCCTCCCCCTCCAGGCCAGGCAGAAGCACCTATTTTCTCTCTCTCTTTTTATTAAGTAAGCTCTATGCACAACGGGGGATTTAACTGAAGACCCCCCCAAGATCAAAAGTCGCTTGCTCCACCGACTGAGCCAGTCAGGGGCCCCGCCTCCTATTTTCAATACGGCCATTTTTCTAATCCTTGTCTCGCCCCTACCCGTCACCCCCGTACCCCTTGAGATGTGGCCTCCCCTCGGCCCCCACAACTCAGGTTTCTTGCAAGCTCGGGGGGATCAGCCGAGTCGTCCGCAAGGCAGTCGGGACCCTGGGGGGGGCACACCTTCGTCGAGCGCTCCCCGCGGCCCCAAAGCGAGACAAAAGGGCAGGCTGACTACCAGGCCCCGCCGCCGCCGCCTCGGCCGCATCTCGGGCGGAAAGGCCAGGCGGCTTGGGGGAGGGGCGAGCCGGAGGCGGGAGGGGCGGGCCCAGGGCGTGGCCTTCCGGGGGTGGGGCGGGGGCGGGGGCGGGGCCCAAGGCGCGCGGGGTGGCCTGTATCGCGCAGGGAAGCGGCGCTTTTTTCTCCGCGGCCCCCCGGCCCCGCCCCTCCGTGCCCCGCCCCCATCTCTCGGACGGCCCGAGTCGCGCCCTCCCACCCCGCGCCTCCGAACTTGCTCTAACTTCCTCGGCCGAGCCGGGCCGAGCCGCCGCCGCCGTCGCCGCCGCCGCCGCAGCCGCCGCCGCAGCCGCCGCAGCCGCGCCCGGGTGAGTGGAGCGCGAAGCCCCCGCTGGAGCGTCGGGCCCTGTCCCCCTCATTGTCTGAGGCAGACCTCCCCCCGCCCCGCCGAGCGCCCTCTGGGGACTAGGACTGCTCCCCAGGTTCGGGCTCGGCCCCTCCGGCTTCCTCGCCTCTGCCCCGTGGGCGGCCCCGCGGGCGGCGCTTGCTTTGTCTGGCCAGATCGCTCGCGAGGGGCTGGAGGCCTTGGCCGGGACCCCGCTGAGCCGAACTCCGGCGCCGGGCGGAGTGGGAACCGCGGCGGGCGACCAGCCTGGCTCTGGGGGTTCTGTCGCCCGCGTCCTGCCCGAGTCCGCGGACTGGTGCGTGCGGGTCCGCGCGGGGTGGGAGAGCTCGGGGAGAGAGGGGCCGGACCGCCGCCGCCGCAGCCTGTAGGGGCTCTGCACCCTGTCCCCGACAGCGAACCCAGGGAGGGGCACTCCTTTCGGCTCGGCCAGGGACCCTCGGTCCCCCCAGAGCTCCGGCCAGGGGTAGAGGGTGCTGCAGACCTGGGAGGACCGTCCCCTCCTCCGCCCCGGGGTGGGTGTGCACCGAGTGGTTCACTTCGGCTATGCGCCCCACTCTGTCCTGCACGGATTTGGGGCGGCCCGAGTTTGAGTAGGTGGTGGGTGAGCCAGCTTCTTCGTGTTGGTCGTGTGAGGTTGTGCCTGGGAGCAAAGCCCGGCTCCTGACCTAACTAGAGCTTCGGTGGAGTTGGGTCTGTGGTTACGGAGTTGTCTGGTCTCGCGCCGCTCCTCCTGCTGGGGAGGGGTGCTGGTGCGGGTGGGTAGGAAGTGTGTGTGCATGGAGGGGTGGTGGTGCCAGCAGGGTGTGTGTTTTTGTGGGTGTGTGTCTGTATAAGGGTGATGATGCAGTGGGTAGGAAGTTTGTGTGTCTAGCGGTGGTGGTGCAAGTGGGTAAGGTGTGTGTGTGTGTGTGTGTATTTGTAGGGACTTCAGTCCTGGCACCTCTGGGACATGCCTGGAGTTGGTCGCCTGCTAGAAGTGGTCCCTGCTGTGGGGATTCTGGGGGAAGGCATGGGCCCTGATACTGGCCTGGCCAATGGCTGCCAGCTGTGATGAGTGCCCCGGTTTGTGCAGACTCAGTGGCTGTCCCGCCCTGGTGGTGTCTGGGGGCTTCAGGTGTTTTTGGGGGGTGAGTGCAGGGTGTTACATGAGAGCCTCTGCTGGTGTGCTCTCTCCAGTGGTCTGCTCTCTAGAGGTCTTCCTTCCTGGATGGGGGTTGCTTGGGCTCATAGGAGTGGGTGTAGCTGCCTGCCAAATCCTAAAAAGTAGCCTTCCTCCTACCCTTTGACCTCAAAGTAGGGGAAGTTAATGCCGGCTGAGTGCTTGGGCCGCTCTTCCCTATTTGTGAAGGGAAACCTGGTGTCTGGGCTCTCGGAGCACCCCCAGCACCCCTAGATCCCTTCTACTTCCAACTAGCCCTGTGGTTGGTGGAGGCACCCTTCCTTCCAGGGATACTCCCGGGCCCTGGCACCCTTAGAATGCATCCTCTCCTGTCTTAGTCTCATAGGCCCTTCTAGCTCCTCTCTCAGTTCTCTCCAAACTTTGTCCCAGTCTGAGGATCCCTAGGGTCTGGGAGACAGGCCGCTAGAGGGATTTTTCGCTCCCTTCTTACTTCATCATCCTTTTTTGTCCCACCTTCAGCTGGAGAATTTCTTGATCTCTCCATCTTTGCATTTTTGAACCGCACTGCTTGGACCATCAAATGTGACCTTCAGGTCATTTAACAAAGCATGTTTGATAGTCTGTGGCATACGAGAGGGGCCAGCTGCTGTTCGCAGGTGCTGTTCCAGGCTCACGACTCCCTCACTGGCCCGTAAGCCCCCTGTGGTCTTGGAACCCAGGCCGGACATAGGTAGTAGGCGCTCTCTGGTGTTTTATTGATCTGGGCTTGATCTCAGCTTAAGCAGCACTATCCAGGCAAGCAGGACTCCAGACCCACTGGTGCTTCTGAAGGTGGCTGCCTCGAGGAAGAAAAGGTATGAAGGAGAAGGGCCTGCAGAGGGTTGGCTACCCAGGGAAGTTTCCTTCCTTTACCAGCTGGGGAGCTGTGATAATCTCTGAGGACAGGTGAGGGTTTCCCATGTTTGAGAATAGGAGGGCAAGCCTCGTGCCCCGCCCTGCAGGTCTTGGTGATAGTGGAGGCCAGGGAGTTCTGGAAGCTCTGGCTTCTGGAGACATTTTCTGAAGCCTTCCTTGGGTCACTGTGAGCTCAGGGATGTGATGGGTTTTCAGTTTGGCGGAGCCTACAGAGTACCATTGTGCCCGTCCTGGGCAGCCTGTGCTGCAGCTAAGACCTAGTGGAGGTTATGGAAAGTTTACAGCCATTCTGTGGAAGGTTTGAGAGTGCTGTAACAGTGAGTTTATTGAATCTTACTCTCTCTCTCTTTTTTAAAACAAGATTTTATTCATTCATTTGATAGAGAGATCACAAGTAGGCAGAGCAGCAGGCAGAGGGAGAGGGAGAAGCAGGCTCTTTGCTGAGCAGGGAGCCCAATCCCGGCCTGGATCCCAGGACCCTGGGATCATGACCTGAGCTGAAGGCAGATGCTTAACCGACTGAGCCACCCAGGTGCCCTGAGACTTACTGTTATGGACCTGTATACCAAGCACTATCCTAGAAGCTTTACTCACATTAACTCATTTAACTCTTGAACCGACATAATGTATCCATCCCATATGATAGAGGAGGACACTGTTGTAGAGAGGTCCCAGAGTAACTTGCTCCAGGTCTCAATGTGAGCTACTCTCGTCATTTCTAATGTAGACAGAGCCTTTGTATGAAAGGTGTTTAGGATGCTGCACAAGGCTGGCCCACAGTGGAGCTGGTAAGTCCTTCGGTGCAGGATCCTTTGATCCCTGCTTCTGAAAGCATCTCATCTGCCTGGGCATGCAGCCGGCATCCCTGACCCCCTGGTGAGGCACTGCTGATGTAGCTTTTGCCTCCCTTGGGCCAGGGAATGGGAAGCCCAGCACTGCCAGGCAGGGAGTCTTGGGGAGTGAGTTGTGGCCTCTGTCTGTCTAGATAGATCAGGGTTTGCTGTCATAACAATCCCCAAATCTCCGAGGTTTAAAGCAGCAGCAGTTTATTTACTGCTCACACTATATCCATTGCATATGTGCTTTCTGTTGTTCTCACTGAGAACCCATGCGGATTAACTGGAACATTCCAGACCCTTGGACAGAGGGACGGAGAGCGCTGTCAGTCTCACCCTGGCTCTTAAAGCTCCTGCCCAGAAGCGGCATTTCAGTGGCGGAAGCAGCCACGTGGACCTACTGACCCCTAGAGTGTGCGGTGAGGAAGAGGACTGGGGACATCTGGTCAATAGCACTGACTCCCTCCCCTCTGCCTGCCACCGTTCCTGCTCTGTGACTTCTTCCCCAGGCCCAGGCCTGAGTGTCACGTTTCTGCGTCATCAGAAACATGGGTCATGAGTTGAAGAAACACTGTTGAGGCTAACGATGAATTGGGGTTCCGTATTTGAAGGGCAGAGGGAGAGTGAGTGAGACTGTGGGTTGGGTTGGTAATGGGTAGTCTGCAGAGGCAGCCCGCTCTCTGACCCTGGGCAAGTTACCGGAGTTCCATGGGTCTTCTTTTGCTCATTCATGCATTCATTTATGGGCCCAAGGACTTGTGGTGAGTCCCAGGCTGTGGATTCTTACTAAGCACATGTTCAGCTCCTAGCCCAGTGCTGAGGGCTATGCACTGGGATGATGACCCCTGCTTTCTGTTGCGGGGTCCTGGTGGCCTTTAAAGAGGGATATTAATGCTGGTCGGGAGGGAAGTGGGCTCCTGCTCCCCCTCACTGCCCTGGCACATCAGCCCTGAAGTTCTTGGACTTCCCCATGCTTTATCCATAGATGGCTGGTAGGAGAGGCCATCTTTTCTAGAAGCAGGAACAGGTAGAAGCACCGCTATAGGCCTTGCTCTTCTTCTTCCATTTTGGAGACTCTGGCGCTGAGCTTGTAAGCCTGTAGGAAAGGTTAACGAGGTCACTAAAACGCATGGAGAACAAGATTGATTGAGTGTGGGACTGGGATGGTTGTCTGGCTGTAGAGGGGGTAGAACCCCTCCATTAATTGCAGTTTTCCACTTGAGCCCCCCTTGAGGCATATTAAAGAGCCAGCCAAGCTATGGAACTGGCTTTTGGGCTTTGTCACCTGCTTTGTCTCTGGTGACTTTCAACAGGGCCAGGAAACCCTAGTGGAGGTAGTGAGACCCCAGGTGCTTCTCTACTGGGTAACTTATTACTATGCTTATTCCTGATTCCTCCTTTTTCAGGTCCTCTCCACTTTCCCATCTGGAATAGGGGGAGAGGTCATGGGGGTATACAGCAATGGCTTCACTCTTGGCTGGTTGCCAGAGTTCCCGGGGTACTACGGAGACTAGTGCTTTGTGAATTTTCGGCCTAGGTGGATGCCAGTGTTCCTGGTTTGTCTTACCTTCTGTTATTGTGGTGTCCTCTCTGAATCAGTGTGGGGTATTGATCATGCCCCCACATTCATTTTCTACCAGACAGCATAGTTTTTGGTTCAGAGAAGGGCAGGCGTCTGTGTTGGAAGAGCACAGTCCCGGCTGGCGGTGGGAAGTGTTCGGTGCCTCTGCCGACCAAGCATGAAGACAAATGACATTGTCCGGCTTGTTGGGTAGACAGCGGGGAGGCCAGCTTTCAGGTCGTGCCCCCTTTCTAGCCCAAGGGACCTGGACAAGTCCTTGTTTTTTTTCCCCCTGCCTGGACTTGATTGTTCTCATCTGTAATGAGAGAAGAATCTGCCCTTTCTGTCTCTCACGGGGTTACTGTGAAGCTCTAGTACACATTTCAGGTCTGAAAAGCAGGACTGAGTCCCAGCGTTAGGCCTGATGCTCTGGTTTGGGACCGCTGCCATCACGTTGACAGCTCTCAGCAAAGTGTTCACCAGCAGCTGATTCTGGGAACCCCACTTCCTCTACTCTTGGGCTTGGTGGG